GGTGACAAATAGGTGACAAGGAGGCAGACAGCCCTCAACCATGTCATCCATGCTGTGTTCATGATGCATATGGAGCAATGATATAGATATTTGTGGAAAGAACCCATAGAAAGAAAAATTACACCATGTTAAGTTTTAAAGTCATAAAAAAATCTTTTCTCTCATCTACTAAAGTTGAATATATCCACACTCCATGCCCCAGCAATTTCAAACTTAAAGGTATATGAGGAAAAGCATGTGCAAATGAAGGCACATACAAGAGCATCTTTAGAAGGGTGTTCACAGTACTCCAAACAGGACAGTACTCTTGCAATCACTGAGACTGAGAAGGGTAGGTAAACTTGTGAAGTGTGCCAAACACAAAACTCTATACAACGATGAGAAATGAGACCTAGGATTCGATGCTACAGCCTCACAATCAGAATGCTGTGCTAAAGAAAAAAGACTGAAAAGTAGAACAAATGGATTGATGTTATTTATGGGTTCGTTTTGGTTTGGTTTGGTTTTTGAGACAGGGTTTCTCTGTGTAGCCTTGTCTGGACTCACTCTGTAGACCAGGCTAGCCTCAAACTCACAGAGATCCCCCTGTCTCTGCTTCCTGAGTGCTGGGATTAAAGGTGTGCACCACCAGCACCGGGCTTAATTTATGGGTTCTGTATCAAGAACTGACCTTCAGCTTTGGAACTGTTTAAAAGAGTTGCTGGTGTTAATAATGATGACATGGATGGCTGCTGCTAGGAATCACTAACCTTTAACACCAGTTAGAACACAGCCATCAAAATTATGTCTTTAATATCTAACTGTTTTGTGCTTTTATTGTACATTTAAAAACTTAAAAAAAAATCATTCCAAGCCAGAACAAGCCATGTGTGAGTTTTGGATAAGTCATGGTCTTAACTTCTGAAGAAATGTTTTTCCTGTCTGTGCTAAAATACCAATCAAATTCCAAACATAGGCTCTCTGCAAACATTCCTGAGGAATTGTGCAGAAGTCTGGTTTAGTTTGACACTGTAGAGGGCTTCTTAGTCCCCAAGAAAGTAAGAAGCAAGAGGAAGCAGCTACCAAGCTGTGAGGAGACTGTACCTGCAGTCACGTGTCACGCTCAGAAACCCCAGATGACTGAGATTTCCTACCAAAGCTAATTTTCTAGATAATCAAAACTTCTCTCATTATAAAACTCCTTCATTTAAAATCATTTTAATGGAATCCTTCTAAATTGTATTTCACACATCCCTGACTTTTTGAATGTGCACAAATAGAATTTAACCTTTGCAACAAATGACAGCAATAACAATAAGTACCATCTTATGCCAGGTGCTACCCCAAGCGCTCTCTCTAACACATCCGTCCATCTTATTTGTCACAGAAATCTTATGAATTAGGTCTTCTGATTATTCCCACTTCAAGTATGAGATTCAGGGTGGTTAAATAAAGGTCACACACACACACACACACACACACACACACACACACATCATAGTGAACAGTGGGAAAAGGCAGTGACTGTCTCCAGAGCCTGAGCTCATGACCCTAAGTGGGGGATTTTTACTTCTTTTATGTATTGGGATGGGTGCACTCATGTGTGTCACACACATGTGGCAGCCAAAGGTCAGTGTCAGGGAAGTTTTCTCCAGCTTATTTGTAGAGATTGGGTCTCTCCCAGGCCTGGAGTTCACCGACTGGACTAGGCTGGCTAGCCAGGAATCTTCCTCTCACCAACATCACCACCACCCCCCACTGGGATTTCAAGGAAATGCCTCCATACCAGGCTTGATTTTTTTCCCCTTAAGCATAGGTTCCTTCAGCTCTGGTCCAGGTATGCATGTCCATGTGGCAAATGTCCTAACCACTGAGCCAGCTCCCCAGCCTATGCCCTCTTTTCCGTGTGCCTGGACATGCACTTGTATGTGCAGATGCACTTGCCTGTGAGAGCATGTGTGGAGACCAGAGACTGACCTGACTATAGCTGCTTCTGAATGCTACATATGTCAACATCAGAGACTAATACTGAGCCTCAGATTTGGCACCAGTCCCCAGGGTGACCAGTCTGCGATCTGGTGGCAGGTTGACTACACTGGACCACTTCCTCCATGGAAAGGACAATGCTTTATCATTACTGGAGTAGATACTCATTCTGGTTATGGATATGCCTTCCTTACATGTAATCCTTCTGCTCAAACAGCATCCATCATTATGGTATTCCACATAGTATTGCTTCTGACCAAGGAACACATACCACAGCTATAGAATTGCAAAAATGGGCCCATGATCATGGAATGCACTAGTCTAACCATGTTCCCCACCATGCTGAAGCATCTGATGAAAGATAGAATGGCCTTTTGAAGACACAGTTAAAGAGCCAATTGAGTGGCAGCAGCCTGGAGGACTGAAGAAGTGTTTTCAAAAATCCAATGTATGCTTTGAATCACTATACAATATATGGCATGGTTTCTTCTGTAATAGGGATCCATAGGTCTGGGAATCAAGAGGTCACAAAGAGAATGTTTCCATTCACTATCACCCCTACTGAACTTCTAGGAAAAGTTTTGCTTTCTATTCCTGATATCTTAACATTTGTTGGCCCAAAAGTTGTGAATCGAGTGGTGGGGAGTGCTCCTCTCAGGAAGCACAGCAAACATCCATGGGACTGGAAGCTCAGACTTCCCCCAGCCACTTTGAGCTTCTGATGCCCTTATGCTAACAGGCTAAGAAAGAAATAACAGTGTTAGGAGGGGTGATTGATCCATATTGCCATGAGAAAATTGGATTTTCCACAATGGAGATAAGAAAGATCATGTCTGCAGTATAGGAGATACTTTAGGGCATCTCTTGGTGCTACCAAGTCAACGGAAAACTAAAGCCTAATCCAGGCAACATGACTAAGGGCACAGACCCTTCAGGAATGAAAAGATGGGCCATAACTCCAGGAAAAGAGTAAAGACCCAAAGAGGACCTTGCTGAGGGTGGAGGAAATACAGGATGGGTAGCAAAGGAGGTAGTCATAAATACCAGGTAAGGCCACGTGACTTGTTGCAGAAATGCAGATTATAGTAGATGTGTTTCTGCCATAGTTTGTTAAGAATGTATTTACACAGATATTTTTGTTTTCCTTCCTCAATTTCTTCAGCACATAATATAAAATCAATAAAGAGAATGTAAGTGTTATCATACTTGAGCTTGGGATACTGAAAGACTGTCCCTTAAGGGACAATGCCACCTATTCTAAAATTTATAATATATCTACACTTGTAAAAGTGATAATTATATCATGTTGGGCATAATTATGATAGGGTTATTGTTTTCATTTGTAAATGAAAGCATGACATAAAGAGATATGAGTGTGTGTCAAGTTGAGGAGGTGTGGATTTGTAATGGCTAATTTTGGTTGTCAACTTGACTATATCTGGAATTAACTAAAATCCAAATGGCTGGACATTTCTATGAAGATTTTATTTCTTTTTTTTAATAATTTCTATTTTTTATATTAATCACAGGTTATTTACTTTGTATCCTAGCTGTAGCCCCCTCCCTCAATCCCTCCTAATCCCACCCTTCCTCCCTCATCTCCTCCCTGCCCCTTTCCAAGTCCACTGATAAGGGAGGTCCTCCTCCCCTTCCATCTTACCCTAGCTTATCAGGTCTCTTCAGGACTGGCTGCAATGTCCTCCTCTGTGGCCTAGCGAGGTTACTCCTCCCTTGGGGTGGGGGAGGTCAAAGAGCCAGCCATTGGGTTCATGTCAGAAATAGTCCCCATTGCCCTTACTAGGTACACACTTGGATACTGAGCTACCATGGGCTACATCCAAGCAGAGGTTCTAGGTTATATCCATGCATGGTCCTTGGTTGAAGAAACAGTCTCAGAAAAGACCCCTGTGCCCAGATATATTTGGTCCTTGTGGAGCTCCTGTCCTCTCCAGGTCATACTAACTTCCCCTTCTTTCATATGATTCCCTGCACTCTGCCCAAGGTTTGGTTATGAGTCTCAGCATCTGCTTAGATAGACTGCTAGGTAGAGTCTTTCAGAGGCCCTACGCAGTAGGCTCCTATCCTGTTACTCATTTTCTCTTATTTCCAATGTCCATCCCATTTGTCTTATTTTATTTCTTAATTAAACCATTTTTGTAAGTTGGAAGACCCACTTTTAATCCAGATCTTTTGAGGTGGGAAGATATACCTTGAATCTAAGTTACACTTTTTTCTGGCAGCCTATATAAAGGACATGGAAGAGGGAAGCTTGCTGCCTTTGCCTTCTTGCTTTTACTGGCAGGCATATACTGAAGACCAGCTGAGACATCCCACCTCATGGAATGAACAATTACTGTATTTTTGGACCTTCCATTGATAGACAGCCATTGTTGGACTAGCTGGACAAGAGCCTATAAGCCACCATTCTAATAAATTTCATACATATAGTAATCTCATAGGTAGAATGAATATATATTCATTCATTCATACACACACACACACACACACACACACACACACACACACACGTGTATTCATCTCCAGTTTAGTGTGTCCAGGATGAAATCTTGGACTTCTGCATTCCAGACACAGACTTTGCCTCTGAGCATCATCCCCAGCCACCTTCATCAATATTGTACAGTCAAGCTGTTACCAGTATTTGGCCATCCTTAAAATAATCTAATAGAAATCTGTTTTCATTTTTTTAAGCTCTCAACAGTTTTAGGTCTTTCTACTTAGCTAAAATATCCCATGGAGTTAGATCAACTTCTTTATCAGTTTAAGGAACCTCTCAGGTTTTTTTCTTTTCCTTTCTTTTTTTTTTTTTTTCTTCGAATTTCCATACTTTCTCTTTTCAGGAAGTCCATGATGTTCATCAGATTAACACAAACACTCCTCTGCTGGGGGCCATCTAGCCTGCAGTAGCTCTTTAGAAAATCTCAGGTTCTCACAGATAAGCACAGAGGCATGCAGAGTCATTTTCTGTGAGGTTTTAGCACTGATGCCTGCAGAGAAGAAGGAGCCATTGTCCTTACCCCGTCTTCAGGCTGACCAAGGCGTCCTCGACTCCCCTCTGGTTGAATTTGGTCATGTACTGGTGCATATAGGGGTAGTTGTTCCGAATATTCCTCTCTGTACTTCCATTGGGTACTGTCCCAAATCGGAAAGGAGGGGAATAGTCATGCGGTCTCTGAAACTGGAGGGGGTGTTGGGGAAGAAAAGGTGAAGGGAAGAGAGAGAAGAAACAGTGAGCATTTGTACAGTGACAGAAGTTCAGCATGGAACAGTACAGAAAGGTGAAAAAGATCCTTTCAGGCATTCTTTGTCTTCAGTCACACCTTTCGTGGGTCTGTGATCTCCAGGAAGGTGGAAAGTGTCTGGCTTTCATTTTTATTTCCATTTTCTATTCTATTTCCCAGACCTGAGAATAGGGCTTGCTCTGTTGCTCAATAAATATTTGCTGGGGTTATCTTACTTGTGCTATTAAAGAGACTAGCACCCTGCTAGGCATACAGTTGACATCAAGATATGCAGAAGAAGTTAAGGGTGTACTATTCAAGTTCTTTTATTTGTTATACAACAATGTTTTTTTCTTTCTTTCTGTGAATACTATCAATCATACCTTGCTCTCAACTCCAGAAAATGACTGCATACTATCACTCACTTATCCTCCATTCTTTCATTCATTTACACAGGCAGTATTTGTGGCATCCTAACAGTTGCCAGCCATAATGCATGGCTCATGGCAGACTCAGGGACAGTTTGTAAGCCAAAACCTCCACTGACTTTGCTTCCTCTCAGGTTTGCATGGAAGTTTTCTATGATCCATAATTTTTCTTGGCTAACTGGCTGATATAAACTGTCCATAGTTTGTGCACGTGCATTTACATATGTGTCCATTGTGCTTGTATGCATGCATGTACATGTGTGTGCACGTACGTGTGTCCATGCATATGTACATGGATGTATGTTCATGTGTGTGCAGGTGCTCATGTGTGTACCTTCATGTTCAGTGCAGATGTCAACCTTAGACATCATTCCTCAAGACAAAATCCACTTTGTGTTTTGAGGAAGGGTCTCTCACTGAACCTGGAACTTCTCAGATAGTTTAGTGTGGATGGAGTTCTGGAAGAAGACACTTGGCTGACTGAGCTGTCTCTCCGGCCCTATGCTCCCAGATTTAAAACATTCTATTAGTATAACATTAATTGCAAAGAGTAGTAGGTTTCTTTAGAACATTTCATGTATGTGTATAAATGAACTTAGATCATGTTTTAGGGGATTCAACACGATTAGAAGTCAATTGATGTAATTTACACCCTAGAAAGACAATTCTCCTTAGAGGCAGGACAGGAAGGTGTCAAGAGAATTAGCTGAGACTGTCACATCCCAACTTGGAACCATGGATAAGTCATTTCATGACATCCTGTCTCCAAAACGTCTTTGAAACCTGTAGTAGGGACCACACCAGCAATTCCCTTCTAGGTTTACTAGCAAGACTGAAAAACATACATTTGCCAAATAGCTGCAATAGAGAGAGCATTAGAAACTAACACAATAGTACGTTTTGTTCATTGTGGGTAAAAATAATAGCTCAAGCTGCATTTTCTATAGATGGTGAGTTCTGAAACTAGAAGGTAATGGTCACAACGACCCATGTTTTGTCCATTTGGTTATTTTACAATGACTGACACTTCCTCAGAATTAATGGGGATAACAACGTGCCCCAAACTTCTAAAAATATTGGTCATGCAACCTCACAGCAGCTCAGGTTTGAGATTAATCTTACAGCTCCATCCATTTTGTAGATGGGGACACCGAGGCTTGGGATATATGACCTGTGAACAAGCTAGGCATGGTGGTGCGCACCTGGATCATAGCTCTCAGGCTGAGACAGGAGGGTCACAGTTTTAGGGCCAACCTGGGCAATGCATCGAGATATTGTCTCAAAAATAGACACAATAGAGATGAAGACCTGGGTGTCCTGAAAGGGTAAGGATGCCCAGCAAAATGAGGACCACAACCCAGGGGTTCTCTCCAACCCGCAGATCTACATGCTTTCCACAAAACTAAGAACTGCCAGCAACAGTCTTCAAGCTCACTCAAGAGACAGATCAACCAGAGGCACGAGTCTTGTTTCTAGAACTCATACTTCTTTTCACTGTTAATTAAAAGTTCCAGTTGAAAATAATTTTTATGAAATGAGACATGCTGCTGCAGAATTAGCAGCTGTCACTGGATCTGTGATAAGGGGATGCCCATTGTCTAAACTAGAGTCTCTTCCTTGAGTGCACCTTGCATTTGTGAGAGAACGTGTGCGTGTACATGTGTGTATGACATGCACATCACATGTGAGTATGTATATGCGTGCATGCACGCACATGCATACAGGTATACGTGTGTATGTATATGTGTCCATTCGTGTGTGTACTGTGCGTTTATGTGTGCAATCATGCACATGTATGCATATAGGTGTGTGTGCGTGTATGTGCAGCATAAGGCTCTGTGTATTCACTCTGCCACACAGCAACCTTGCTCATCCCCAGAAGAGAAAGCACAAGCCCAGACTGCCGTGTACAGCAGCTGCAGGCTCGGGGGAACAGTACTCATAGCACTCCTCATAAATCTAGCTGTTGTAATGGCCATTCTCAATCTCCAGAGACATGGAGAGAGGGTCTACTCGACTAAAAGCCGTCCCATCCCTTCCCTCTTCAGCTGCTGCAAGATGCAGCTTTAAGATGCACTTCCCCCTTGCCTCTGATTTACACAGAAACAGACAAATCCTAAGTCTCTGTGGTGGTTCCTACATCCTAAGACATCAACAACAGTCCCCAGCCAGCCAGCCCCGATACCCAAAACGTTCCTCACTGGACCAAAGCTGTAAGTTTTTAAAACAATTCACCTTATACTTTTCATTGCTCCCTGTGCACGCACACACACAAACATGTGCGTGCACACACAAGCAAAATTTAGAGGTGCTTATTCTTTCTACATGAAACATGCTCTGATGACATAATTTTTCTGGATTTTAAAGTATATTCATATATTTTAAAATTGAAATAAAATTCATGTGACAGAACATAAAAGATTTTAAACGAGTCATTCTCTGGCATTAAACACACTCACTTCTCACTTTGTGCCATTATCACTATTAACATTCATCCACAGCGAGTTCACAGTTTTAAAGCTTCCAAACATTTCCATTAATTCTGGGGCTCACTGAAGAGTCAGGGCCCTCAGCCTGAGGAGTTAGGGTCATGAGTGGCTCATTTTTCTCAACCAGATCTATGCTGTAGGCGTCCCGCGTTTTCTACTGGAGTGATCTCTGGAGAGACTTCCTCCCAGCCAGGCACCCATGCAAGCAGAGAGGCAGCTGTGGCTTCAGTGAACATAGGGGTGGAACAGAGCCTCTGATGTCAGTGGCACCACAGAGCAGCAAAGGCGTCGCAGGGTTCAGATCAGGAAAGCTCCTCTCCGCTCCTCAGCTCCCATGGTTTGGAGCAGTCCATGAAGCCCACTGAGCCTGTCTCTCATATCTATACACTATGCAGGGCTTTGGAAATTAGTCATAACATGCTTGAAATGCCATATAATTTGGTTGCTTCATGAAGATCATATTACATGTTTCACACTGGTCACATATGTGTTGTTCTTGGAAACTGTCATCACTCAGCATAGCTTTGGCCTGTCTCCTCCCAGTAGGCAAACATCAAATCTTTTCTTAATTATCTTTTATCTCTATTCAGTCTGAGGACTGGCCTGAAGGCCATGTAAGTGTCTAAGACATGGTTTGCATTTATGATGGAGGGGATAGACACAAAGATAAGAAATATTATTTTCAAAATAAATTCAGCGATTAACCAGGTCATTTCTCCAGCCTATATTCTTATGAAGCCAAAGCTACAGACTGGTAAAGAAGACTCTCCCATGACTGTAAATTAGAAATGCCTAGTAACTAGGATCTCAATTCCTAGTATGCTCTTCAGTGAGTCAATCATGTGTGTACAGGTGCATCTGTACCTGAGGTCAGAGGGTGATGTTCAGTGTGGCTCCTCAGGGGCCATCCACCTTTTTTGAAACAGAATCTCCAGTAGTCTGGAACTTTCCAAGCATGCCGGGCTAGCTGGCAAGTGAGCTGCAAAGACCACCAAGGCAGCCCCTCCTAGCACTGGGATATCAAGCAGGCACCACCATGCCTGGCCTTTTTAACATGGGTCCTGAGGATCGAACTCAGGTCCTAGGGCACTGCAAGACAAGCCCCTCAACAGCTGAACTATCTCTGTAGCACATACCACATGCTTCTCAAGGGGAGACCAAACAGATGTTGTCTTTAGCAAAGGAAAGATTGGTCAGAGGTTTCCTTATCTGGACTGTGAGCTACCTCAAGGCACCGTGACTGTGAGAAGAGAACACAGGTAGGGAGCTCCCTTACCTGAGTCCAACCTAAATCCCTGCATGGGTAGTTGCAGAGTCCAACTCTGTAAAATAACTTTTCCAGGCTCTGGAAGTGGAACAGTTTGAATAAGTAGTGATGACAATGACAAGAAGTAGGAGAAGAAAAGAGAACAGGGAGGACGGAGGAGTGCAAAGAGGAAGTGGGAAGGAGGAAGTAACATGTAAGTAGTCTACCACGCATGGTGAGAAGATTATCCTTAATCCTCACATCCACCTTGCCAGAGCAGAATTCACATATTCCTTTGTTCAGAAATCGAGCCCTGAAAATAATAAGATATGGGACGTCCTCCGACCATCAGAGGCCAGGTCAGGATTTGAACTCAGGTCTACGTAATCCCAAACAAGATAATCTGCCTCTGAGAAGTGGATTTACTCTGTCAGTGTGGTTCTCGGCATTTTTGAAAGGGTCCTCACCAACATCCCAGATTTCCTTTATTAAGGTCTCCGGAAGCTTCTTTCAGATCCGACTACTTGTTATGTCTGCTCACGTTTATCTGAACACACCATGGGCTTCAAATGTGTTTCTTTCAGAGCAAGCACTAGTTTAAAAGACTCTCAAACCTGAGCGGTCACGCAGGTATTCATGATTAAAACAACAAAGCAAAAACAACCCCCGTGTACCATATTAAAACAAATTGATTCAATACAGATTTACATTTTGCAAACTTGCCTAATGTAGCTGCCCTTAATCTTCTAGGAGCATTTATATTATTTACCCAGAAATTTTCTCCTTATCGAATTGCATCACACATTTAATTAAAGGAGCTATCAGCTTGCGTTCAACACTCTGCACATGGGAGCTGAGCTGGGTCCCATGGGAGTGCAGCATCTGCTACTGAGTGCTTCCAAGCCAGAGAAGGTCAGCCACAAGATTGGTGCTTTAAATTTGTTTTCTCGAAAGCAGTCAAATTATTTAGACTTCAAACCATAATGCAAGGGATTTTGTTTTCTTTGTTTTTGAAAATAGAAACAAAGGAGCTCTGGAAATGGCTTGGTAGGTAAGATATCCACTGCACAAACTTGAGGGTCTGAATTTGAATTCCCAGCACCCATGAAAGAGTTGAGCATGAAGGCGTACACCTATAACCCTAGGAGACTGGGGAAGGGAGAAGGGGCTAGAAATAGTGATCCCAGGGGCTTGCTAAACTTAGTCAAGCCAGTCTACTCCGAAGAGTGAGCTCCTGGTTGTGTAAGAGGTCCTGTTTGAAAAGCATTATATGGAGAATGACTGAGGAAGATAATTTGCATTTGACCTCTGACCTCTATGTGCACTCTCAGGAGCATGACAGAAGGCAAAACAGATTTCAACTGAGTTTGTGGAAGAGTCTTCCATTCAGAGTAGAGTTCCCTCCTGCCTTCCCCAATCCCTTCCTCTAGGAATTGCATCTTTGACCCTGTCATATGGAGTCATTGAATTGCTATTCAATAACTTGTATCTATAGAAACTTCAAAGAACTTGAAATTGACATAGTTTTCCTCAACTTGACATAAACCTAGACAAGCCTGGGAAGGGGAGATCTCAACTGAGGAATCTCTTCCCTCAGATTGGAATGTCTGAGGGGCATTTTCTTAATTGCTAATCAATGTAGGAGGCTCTGCTTCACGCCGAGAAGGAGGTCTTGTAGATAAGAAGGTAACTAAACATGAGCTTAGAAGCATCCTCCATGGTCTCTGCTTCCATTCTTGCCTCCTGGTTCCTGCCTCCAGCTCCTGCCTTGGCTTTCTGTGGTGACAGATAAACCTTTTCCTCCCAATGTTGTTTTTGGTCAGTGTTTTGTCACAGAAACAGAAATCTAATGAATACAAAGGCACATGCACAGCTCCAGCATCTTTTGACCTCCAAAAGGGTGAATCCTAGATTCACAGTAGTCCCAGCAGGCAGTGAGGTAAGGTGATGTGGTTAGTCCTAGTAGAAAGGCAATAGAGATATAACTTTTCTGCCTCTAGATGTGATACTTCAGTGGCCTGTAGATGCCACTTGCTTTAGATTTTCTAATCTAAACCATGAGCCAAAACTTCAGATGAAAATGACTTGTGATGATAGACTCCACTGTAAACAAAACTGGGAGATAGGGTGTTAAAAGGGGGTAGGAGACTGGATGAGGGTCTGTCTGCTGGTCCAACAGAGGAAAAGTCCGTGTCACTGATTCTGAAGAGTCTGCTTGCCTTCAGTTGTTCATCTGAAAAGAGAGGGGGACCTGGGCCTTTGTACTGCTCATACTGATTATAAGTGACCTCAGTGGTACTGTTGCAGTGTTGAAGGCCCTTGCTATGAGCCTTTATCAGCAGTGCACTCAAAGAGTAGGCAAAGGTGCTAAGGACACAGATCTAGAGAAATTCCAGTGGACTCAAGAGAGGAGTACTCATGTCTAACATAGCGTTCTTGCATTTATGAATTTGGCCAACACTTTGATAGCAACCCCCTCCCCAGGTGCTTTAATGCTATAAAAAGAACTTTTCTACCAGAGCCTGGAGGGGCAAGCCAACTACTCAAGAGACTGAAGCAGAAGGACTACAAGTTCAAAGCTTGTCTGGTCTACAGAATGACTTCATAGCCAGTGTGGGCAATGAAGTGAGACCCAGTCTCAAAGCAGGAAGAAAAATGAGGTCTGAGGATGCAGTGGCAGCATGCAAGTGGCCCTCAGTTCAGTCACACTACTGAAAAGAAATCAAAGAGACAGACAGACAAACTGACTGACCAACTCTGAGCCCTCTCCTTCCTGAGGCAATTTTAGCCTCATCAACTTAACCCCTTGAAATCCTTCCCTGCTCCACACTTCCCTTTTCTTGATGTTTACTTGTTCATTGTTACTTATTCCTACTAAAAATTCTAGTTTCTCCAGGGCTCTGACTCAGTCTGCCAAGTTCATCCCAGTAGCCAGGAAAGATCTCTCTGAACGCTTGATATTTTCTCTCCAACCTGAAATTCAAGGAACAGTGACTACAAAAAGATGAGGGCAAAAATGGTCCACACAGGGGACCCAGGAAGCCCAAAGGCACCAGGCTGGGAATGAGCTTGCAGTGTGAGGGAATGGGGAAGGGAGCTTTGGTGAGAAAGACAGAGGGGGTGAATGGGAGGAGGTTGGAACAGAAGGGCATCTAGTGTAGCTGTGTGGGTAGCTTTGCAGTCCTCTAAGAGAGGACAGGCACTCCTGGGTGACCTTTGCGAAGGTGACTCCATCTTTGACCTCTCGCTGTCTCTCCATTTCTAGGACACTGTGTACCTCTTTCTCTGAGAGTGTATGCTATGGATAAGCTGCAAAAGCTTTTCATGGACTGATTTTCTACTCAGCAGTTTGTTGATGAATGCCGAAAGGGTAGATGCAGACTTATGTCAACAAGATGCGACAGGGAGGTTTTATAAAGAGACAAATTATCCTCACACACGAGACAGAAAATCTCTGCCACGATGCAGGCTCAGCACTGCTGAGTTTAGCAAGTCGAGATTTGTTTCCTGAGCTAAAATTTCAATAGGAGAACGAACCCGCTTTACCTCTCTTCATCCTCTGTGTCAGTTTCTAAAGAGTCACTCAAACCCCCAGCCCTCTCTGGGATTCAGTGCAGGATAGGGAAAGCAGGGGCTCTGGCACCCAGCTTACTGAGGCGGGGTGTCACAGAGCACCTAAGAAGAAACAGAGAGTGATAGAAACCTCTATGCTCATTCCACAGACTTGGAAGTGCGCCTGACCAGCCTGGCTTGATTGTACAGTGAATAACAGATCAAATAATTGTGTCTCTGAATAGAACTTATAGATGACTTTAAAAATGCCATATGCCAGGAATCTAAGGCATGCCATGTATACAGAAGGCAGGAAGTGCCTATAACCCTTCTCCCAGCATTTCTTCTTGTCCTGGCATCACAACCTCCTCGATATCAAATCCCTGAGGAGATGAGTTTCAGCCAGTGCTACGGGGTAATCTTGAGCTGCAGAGCCTCAATAGAAGAATCCTTAAGGCCTTACAAAGGTGAGAAGCAACCACACAGAGAAGCTGGGATTGGGAATCCAGCCAGGCAGTGGGGTTTATGATGCCTTGTCTGCTTTATTTTATAAATATGTGTTTTATGAGGGAAAACTCCTACTTTTGAGTTACAGAGTCCAAGGACAGGCCCTTAAACACTCAAATCACCCCTTTTGAAGAGAGCAGTTAGAATGAAACCTCAGTCAGCAAGAAAATGAGGTCTCCTTACCTTCTTGTCACTGAGGCCTGTCACTTGGTCCACAAACTCCTCCTGGATCATGAAAGCAGCCAGGTTAGCTGTGTAACTGGCCAGAAAGATGACAGCAAAGAAGGCCCACACCGACACCATGATCTTGCTGGTTGTGCCTTTAGGATTCTGAACAGGCACAGAATTGTTGAAGACCAGGCCCCAGAGGAGCCATATAGCTTTTCCAATGGTAAAAGAAGGCCCATGGGGAGCTGCAAGTAGCGGAAAAAAAAAACAGTCACAGCAATTCCTCAGAGTGCACACTCTGTGTGTGTGTGTGTGTGTGTGTGTGTGTGTGTGTGTACTGTGGAGGTTACCAGTTGCACTAGAGGGCTAGAAGATAAAAGCATCTCAGTGCAATGTCTTCCACTGTCCCCAGAATCCTACTGCAGTCAACTTCTTTTCTGTTTTAAGATAATTAGCATTTTCCTCACATTTCTATCTAACTGGATTTTACCACATTTCTTAAAAAGAAAATAGTTATGCAAAACGGGGGTTTCCATGAAAAGTGGTGCTAGGACATGTTTTTAAATTTGGATTTGATTTCCATTTGGGGAAACCTAACTCCTTAAAAAATGTAAAGGAGAGCTTGAAGGAAAGAGAATTGGAGGTAGGTTTGATCAAAACATATTACATGCACTTATGAAATTCTCAAATAATTAAAAATACATAAAGTAAATGTAAAGGGAGCCTGCAGAAGTATGTACATGGGGGGTGGGGAGGTGTTCACCACTGGTGGTCCCTAAGAGCCACCAATGTGGCAGGAGCATGCTTGGGATCTAATTCAGTTGTCCCTGGAAATTGCTCCTGTTCAAATTCATGAGTAAAGTGTGCACAATATACAAATCAAACTCCTTCCAAATGGAGGCGGTCAGGAACAGAATACAGCCTAATTCTTCCAACATCATCCTTCACAGATGGGAGATATTTCATTGCGGTCACAGAGAGTGAACTGACATCACATCACTTCCCTGCACTCTCTGTCTCCTCCCAGCACTGTGTCCCTTTTGAGATTCTTAAGTGTTCCTTGTGACAGGCTTAACTAAGGAGGCAGAACAATATGTGGAAATTTATTGAGATGGGGCATGTGAGGACGGTAAACCGCTCAAGTGAGGGTTTTCAAGACTTCCTATCATTCCAGGAAGAAAAATCAATTTACTCACCCACTCTGAGAGAGAAAAAAGCCTTTTTTAAGCCAAAGGTTAATTTTTTTGTCATTTAAGTAAATGAAGACATGACAAAATGATCTACAAGACCTCACTGGCAAAACTAGCCAGTGGACAATAAATAAAGTAGCAGAAGTGGGTTCTGTTGGGTGGGAGTTCTGGAATCTGGGCAGGGACTTAGGAGAAGAATCCTTCTCCATTGGAGGCCAGACTCGCTCCCACATACCCACAATGGCCACCGTGCAACCATGTGAAGGAGAAAGCAGTTAAACCCTGTAATTCTGTCTCCCCTGATTCTCTCTGCCTAGTTTTATGAATTTTCTGGACTTACTCTCAAGAGGTCAGGAACTCTGAAGTCATCCTAGCTAGCTAACTTCATCAGCTACTTAATCATAGAAGGTTTGACCAGAAGTGACAACCATTTGGGAATCAGAGATAAGGGTCTGAGAATGGAGTCCTAGGGGCGCTTTGGTGAATTCCTGGTTCACGGAAACTATTGCTGCACTGTGTAACTTACTCCACAGAGTACAGTGAAATGCGACAGAAAACATTTTGCAGAAAAACAAGGAGCTCTCATTTCCTGAGCTGTCACACGCACAGGAGCAGGATGCAGAGACCCTGGATGGAATGAGAAGCAAGCAGGGAAGAGGGAAGGGTTGTATATTAGATCAGTTGGGGGTTTTATGGCTTTCTCATGATAATCTTCTATTGCATTCTTTGGCCAAGGGAGAAACCAGTGCAGAAAATGATCTTCGGATCAGTTTTATTCTCCATGATGTGGATAGTGATAATGTGTCTCTACCTCATAGCCCTTTCTCAAAGTCTAAACTGCCCTAATCTTTTTTTGTTTATTATTCTTTGAAATTTCTTAGGTGTATACCATGTATTTTGACTATACCCATCCCTTAGTCCCCCTCCTCAAACTCCCCAGGGGTAACCCCCACTCACCCCATCGCATCTTCCTCTTTACTTCGTGTCTCCCATCATTCATTTGTTTGTTTGTTTGTCTGTCTGTTTGTTTGTTTGTTTATGTTTGTTTCTATTGCTGGGAGAGGAGCCCAGGGCCCTGAATGTACTAGGCAAGCACTCTGCCATTGAGCTGCATCTTCAACCCTTCTGAAAGATCTGTTGAGACTTGCCCAGACTAGCCTAGAACTTGCTTTGTAACCCAGGATGACCTTGAAGTTGCACTTCTGCCTTAGCCCCTAGAGTACCTGAGATGACAGTGCTTTGCCATCAGGCTTGGTTTCATTTTCTGTCTCTTAGACATGTCAGGATGGCTTCCAGCTCCACACTTTTCTATTGGCTGCTGTTGTTACTTGAATGATCTTTTCTGTTTCTCTCACAACTAAATTCTTCTTCTATATCTCAGCTGACCATCGCTGAACCTGAATACTCTCTTCCTCATCTTAGCATCCTGTCTAAAGCAGCGTCACATCCCTCACCATCACATGAGTCTGCAATTTTCTACTGTGTTTCCAGCTAAGTCCTAAAGCCCATGAAAGTCATGCTGCCTCCATCTGATTCACCTTGTTGTCTCCTGCCTGCATGGGGCTTGGCACAGAGAACATACCCAGTAAATGTCTATACAATGATTGTGTGAACGCGCAACTACATACTCTGATGGTGAAAGTCCTGTTTCAGCCTAATGTGATCATCACAAGGAATCACCCAGCCTCCACTGTGTTGAAGGCTCTGCCACATTCACTCACTCCTCATTTAAACACACCTTCAAAGTTTGGGAGATGGCAAGTGTGATGTGCACTGCTCTTCAGCAGCTAAGAGGTCGAAAGATTTTAATGGAACAGTGTCACTAATAAACTCCCATGACCTCTTGACTGCTTCCGGTATTAAATCTTTCAAGTTAAAAGTATATGTTTTGAATTAAAGGGTGTTCTGTTCTGGAGGGATATTTGAGGCACCAAGTTCTTCAAGTTTTTGTGGTGGGAGTACCAAACAGGGAAGCCTTGCACATGCTAGGCAAGTGCGGTGGCTCTGATCTCCATTTCTGTTCTCACGGTCTCCTGCTCTCTGCAATATCAAGTCACTTTGGGGGAAAGGAATTTGATAATGATAATGTTATCATGTTTCTGCTAACATTCACTTGTGGAGGTTCTATGCATTAAGGAAATCTACTCAAAATGATGTGATGTGTTTAGCAAGCCTCTTAGTGAGTTAAAAACCAATGAATACCTTTAAATTTTACTTTCTGTCTACCGATTCTTCTTTTATCAAGTATGGTACATGACAATCAGATGCCATCAAGGGGAGAATTTAACACTGAGGAAATATACCACTTTATAGTCACATTTGTTGTCAAACTAATGCAAATATGATTCACTAATTTGAAAAATGTTCTTAAAGTAGAATCTATCAGGTCATTTTATTTGCATAGATTGAAATTGAGACTTGCTGTGATTTTAATACTTCTTTTGATCTACATTTTAAAAATGAATTGCGAAACTCTCCAACTCTTTTTTTCTCAACAAACTGAATATCAATGATTTTACCTAAGCACCGTTGACTTTGAATTATAATAAGGTTAAAATGTTTCATGCTTAAATCCTGTTTTAAGTTAAAGTAGACGGATCGCATTGTCGTATCAATGTGCCAACACTATTCCTATGCGGCATAAAGTGCTCTAAAACTAAAAATATCTGGGGGGGGGGGGGTGCGCGTGCGCGCGCGCTATGCATACAGCTCATGTACATGCATATGTGAAAGCCTGAGTTCAAACCAAGCGTCTTTCCTCTGTCACTCTCCACCTTAATGTTTTGAATCTAGAATTGGTGAACTGGCTGGAGTGACCAACAAGCAGTCCCCAGAACCTGCCTGTTTCTGCTCCTCTACCTCCAGTCGGGGCTTATGGCTACTCAGCACAGCAGCTGGTTTTCACATGGAACTGGACAAGTGAACTCAGGTCCTCGTGCCTGCACAGCACGTTGCACACTGGGCTAGCCAGTAAGTATCCACTGTGTACAAGGCTCATGAAGGCTTCCTTACCTTTCCCTTTGGCTAAGTTTCTGTTGTATCCAACAGGACTGAAGTATTCAAAAACAAAGACGGCAATGGCAGAGACAATGAGCAGCATCACAAACATCATCACCCAGACGGAGGCGCTGAAGGGTTCTGTAGGGGAAGGCATAAGAGATAGGTACAGAGTCAGTCAGGCAGTTCTTCCTCACTTCCAGCAGGAATTCCATCTACCCACCTGCAAGCTATGGAGACACTTGCTCTCATCAAATCTGATCATTCAAAAGAAGCTGGTCATTTTTATTCATACTTGAAACCATTCTTTATGAAATGATTTCAGATACTTTATATGACTGTACATAAGATGATAAAAATAGAGATGAGAATGTGACATTATACAAACCAGGTCAAGGATAATATAAGAAAAAAAGAATGATAAGATGAGAAGGAAATTATGAGACTGCAAATAAACAGGCTGCATAATCACAGAACCATCTAAAAAACCAAAACAGAGGAGACCCAAAGAACCAGACCCAAATAGCTAGTAGATAGACTCTACAAATGCATGGTTTTAATTTTTACTTTCATTTTTACTTTAATATACTAGTGGTGAGCGTATGCGGGGAATTTCAGAAGTAGCAAGAAAATTATAACCTGTTATAAAGGATTATAAAACCATGGCATTGACAAGAATATTAGAAGGTCACAATTTACCACCGTCTGCCTCAGAGGGATGAGATTCCTGTGGCCTACAAATCTTACTGCTGTGGGTACTGGGCTTAAATATAATAGAAGGTCATTCTGAGATCTCACAGTTGTGGAATAATTCAACAAGGCATCATTATAAAGCATGGGTGATGAAGTCTGCGATGGGAAGGTGTTTGCTTCTTTTACAAGTCACTTTAATACTTCACTGTACATTAGAGTGGGCAGTAGGCAGGCATCTTCCCATGCAGAAGTGTGTAGGACACAGGTTCTAAGTCTGACAACATTTGAGAAAGGTCAGAGAGCCTGTAAATAAATGAACACTTCCATTTAACCTGATTGAGAATAGGAAAATTAGCTGATTAAAGCTGTGTTATCATGCAGTTATGGATTAGGTTAGAAATTTTAACAGAAAAAAAAAACCACCTCTCCAGATTATTACATGGTTGGGAGGATATCACCCATGGACGCAAATTAACTGAAAGTCATTTTTTTCCTAGAGGAAAACACTTTGAGAGTAAAGCATATCACTTCATCATAAACACTTTACTATTTTTTTGAGTTTTATGAACTTGGTAGTATCAGTCAAGAATAAAGTCTGTGGGTCCTGACAGACGCAATTTCCAGAGAGATGATTTTAATGTATAACAAGGAAGTAATGTGTCTAAGCCTTAATGATAGTGGATAATTCAGAGCCCAGAGCAAGTGTTTTGTGATGCAGTTACAATAGTTTGAATATGGTAAAGGGTAACAGGTGACAGAATAGCTTCCTGGTTTAACACAAAAAATGAGCTCAAGGAATTAAGACTGCAACTGAAATTTGTCTTAGCTGATTTCAGCCTAAGTAATAAATAACATTATGTTCCTGGAATCACTGTAATGAGGTGCATCCAAGATGGAAGATAAGTACAGGGATAATTGGGAAATCAAAAAAGTATTTAATCATCAAGAATAAAGATGCTAAAGTAATTCTGCAAGTAGGATGTACTAATGGCAGAGCCTGTCTTGCTGGGGTACATGAAAAGTGCACGAGTCTTCCTGGGGAAAGCCTTTTGCATTGCTTTTTAAATGCTACATACATACACCACATAGGGGGTGAAATGACAGATTCCACAATTAAAACCAGAAATGATAAGGGTGAAGTGCTGCTCACAGTGCTGAAAAAGCACCCCCAGTTATTAAAAGCACACTTATTAATTAGCAAACATTTCTTTGTAAGACCTGATAACATCAAAAAAAATTAGTGTTAAATCACTACTGCATTCTGTTCATGTGGCAGAATTTTTAAGCCTGAAGCAGATTTGTTTGGCAGAATATATACTAGGCACTAACATACTATCAGAAAACTGATCAAAATGTTTTCTCACTTGAATGTGACATCATTAGTCTCAAGGCTTGTGGTCATGCCTCAGAGATCAAAGGTGCTCCTTGAGGAGTTTTTTTTAAATATTATCATGTTTTAATTTATTTATTTAGTGTGTGTGCGTGTGCAAGCACGCGTGCATGTGTGCATACATGCCATGGGACACTTGTGTAGGTTATCAGACAACTTGTAGAAATCAGTTCTCTCTTTCCATCCAATGGGTCCCTGGGACTGAACTCAGTGGCTAGGCTTGGTGGTAAGCCATCTTATTGACCCTGACCAGTGTTCTTATTTTAATAGATGAAGTACCTGTTTGTGTCCTGCTACTTGCAGACAACACTCACACACACACACACACACACACAGAGAGAGAGAGAGAACAAATATAAGTGAACTAGTCAACAGCATCTGAAGAGTGACCCAGAAACATCTTAAATAGCTTTGAGTTATATCGTCTGATGGTTTAAAACAGATTCAACATTCATCCATGGAGGAGTGGCTGTGTGGGAGACTCCAGGTTAGCATTTGTATGGATCAAAGAATCTAACCTGCTCAGCAAGTTTTTAGAATTAACTGGATGGCAATATTATAAAAGACGTCATCTCTGTCCTTGAAGATCCACTGGTTACAGTTTTGAACAAAAGCTCAGCAGCATTACCTGACCGGCCTTTTCCCATGTAAGTTAATGAGTATGTGGAGGAGAAAGAATAGGAAATAACACAGGCCAACACAATAACATTTTGAGTTAAACACTCACTCCGCATGGCTGAGCCCATGATGGAAAAATGTAGCTTAGCTTGGCTCATTATGACTTTCAAAAACTGCATATGATGTCTGGAAACAAGAGGTGCACAGTCAGTCTGACAGGGTTGCAAATACAGGGTGCACAGACAATCAGAGAGACAAGGATGTAATTTGGTGACCAGGAAAAATATTAAGCTTGTCTCATGAAAACAGCTGTGAAAGTGGCTCCCTTCCATACAATTTATTTTATTCTTAAAGAGACAGTATGAAGAAGGGGTGTTAAATTTGGCAAAAGAGTTGACTTTTTATGGAAATATTCTACAGATGCAGGTAAGATAAAATATCTACAGAAACTGGGTTGAGGCCAGATTCAATATCAGCGACCCATTTTTATGAGACAGTTACTTGATAGTCTTTGTCTCTGATTGCACTGGAAAAATAGTTCTATCTGGTTCAGGGACATGGGCATTTCATGAAAAAGGACTCACTTATTCCTGCTTTATTGAATGGGTTCAGTCCTCCCCCATCTTTTCTTTACCCCCATGGCAACTGGGTTGTGTTAAATGGTCTGGTGAGCATGCAGGAAAAATGAGCAGAGGAAGCTAAACGCCGACAGTCCGTCTCAGAATGACCAAGACTCTGCACTACTCTAAGGATGAGCCAGATGCATTTTTTTCTCGTGTAATGAGGCTCCTTCAAGATATGGATCTCAGAATCCATGTCAAACACAAGGACAAAGTGGAGAACATAACAAGATATGTCTTTCCCGAGCTCGTTATTAGACCAACAAAGGTTGTTAAAAAAAACCTGAAGTAAAGAGTACAAAAACCAAATGCAGTGAATGGCAAGGATTTCAACAGCTTAATTGGATTATCAGAAGTAAAAACAGTCATTGCATATGCTGCTGCAATTAAGGCAGTCTCCCACACTGCTCTTAGTCAACACTGCACTCAAGGGGAAGTGGCGTGGCCATGATGCTGGCTGCTGGTGTGACATAAATGAAGGCCAAGGGGAGTAAAACTGTGGGTTGAAGTTGGTGTCCACAAGTCGGTTTGAGTTTGCAGTTATTTATTTATTTGCTTCTTTATTTGTTTATTCAGTATGTGTGTGTGTGCATGCAGTGCCCATGGGTGTCAGAAGAGGGCGTCAGATTCTCTGCAACTGGAGTTACAGACCCTATGAGTGCCGGGAACTAAGCCCAGGTCTTCTGCAGGAGCAGACGAACAAGTGCTCTTAACCACTGAGCTATTTCTCCAGCTCTGATAATTTTCTTTAATGCTGTTTTCCTGTCTCTAGAAAAATATAAATTTAGTTGACCTTAATAAAACCATTTCCCTTGCTCATGCATCTTTCCTCCTGAAACAAAGGTCTTTCTTCACCTTCCCAAATATAGGCAAACCCATTTATATGGGAGTGGTAGAAAAGTCCACCCCAATTATCTTTCATGTAAACACATTATGAAATGGTTAAAAGGAAAGTTGAAAGCATTTCCTGTTTTACAATATAGCATAAAAGATATGTAGATATAGCATAAAAAATAGCCACACTTTAAAATGAGTCCATTAATTTTCAATCAGTGTAGATTCCTCACACTATTTTTGTTTATTACAGTACTGGAATAAATCATTGGGCAGTTTTCATTACTTCTAGTAAATAAGTGATGAGTGAAATGGAAAGTAGGTGTGTGTGGATGGTGAATAAAGGTCTATGGGCTTTTGTAAATTGTCTGTGGACAGAGAAGCTTATTTAATTTTTAAATGTTTTCATGATTTTAGCAATATTTTTTATATTCTATATAATCAAGATCGGTATCTAATCACTTGATGGAATTTATCAAAAAAAAAAAAATGCCCACGCTGAAGATAAATGAACAAATGTGAGCAGGAGGAATAGGATAGGGTGGCTCTTAGCTGAATGAGTTCAGATGTACCAGTCCTCGGAATGTACATCTGTGGTCAAATGAAGCCAAACAAGGTCCAGCTTGGTCCTATTTCTCAAGCAACTAAAGCAGAACATTTATAATTTCATTTGTGCTTGTATGTGGGGGGTCACTAAAGGACAGTCTCAGAGGCCACTCGTCATGTGTTGCTAGCTGCTTTGTTTTAGATGAGGACTCTCAGGCTAGCGCTCTTCATTCCCCCGAGCTCTGCTTACAGATGTGCACCACCACTCCCAGCTTTTCCACCTGAGACCTGGGGAACAAACTCAGGTCCTCGCTTTTACACAGCAAGCTCTTTAACAGCTGAGGTATCTTGTCAGCCCAGAATACCTACGGTTTTTTGCAGGCAAGCAATCGTTACTCTGAAGTTCACATACCAAGGAAAGCAGAAGGGGAGACAGTGCCATTGCTCCTGGAGACCATGACGCTGATTCCTGTCTCCACAAAGGGCACTGAGAAGTCCACCACTTCAGAACGCTCCTCATTGATGGTGAGTGAGCCCACCGCCATGACTGCTCGTTGATAGACCACCTGGATAGAAGAAAGAACATTGCCTTCATCCTCTCTTTACACCACCATTGGACCCTGAGGCCCTCTGTTGGGATGAGAACCTAGAGGTAGCAAAGATGACTTACTTCACCTATCATTCCATTCCACACATTGTTAACCTTTTTTCCATGCTTCCCATTGGTCACCAGGTAGAGGTCATAGGTGAACTTCACAGTCCTGGACAGCTTCTTCAGGATATCAATGCAGAATCCCTTGCAGCACTTCTTCACATTCATCCCTTCGTTGGTTGAGTTGCTGCCAAGAAAATGCCAGGATCACAGGAAGTTACTCTTGGAAGGTTGTGCTCTTGGCCACATACACTTTCTATTTTTGGATGAGATGTTGAAGCTCATAAAGGGAAAGTGAGTTGTAAAAGCAAATGTTGGAAGTGGTGTGTGGGGGTGTGTGTGGGTGGGTATGTGGGTAGGTGGGGGGGTGTTAGTGCATATGCAGTGGTTAGAGGAGAATACCACATGCCTTCTCTTACTCTCCACTTTGTTGTCTTGAAATAGGGTTTCTCACTGAACCTAAGCACTCAACATTTCAGCTAAGCTGGCTGGCCAACAATCGCTCAGGGATGCCCCTTTCCATGCCCTGACCAATGCTGGTGTTACAGCACACACAGCCATTCTCACCCAGCTTTTGGCATGGGTGCTGAGCATTCAAACTCAGGTCTTTGTGCTTTCATGTCATCCAATTTTATCCATGAAGCTACCTCCTGACTTCCTTGTTTTGTGAAACAGGGTTTTTCTGTATCCCAGCCTGGCCTCAGACTACTCCTTATGTAGCGAAAGATGATTTTGAACTTCTGATTCCCGCATCTCCACCTCTTTAGTGTCAAAATTACAGGCTACTGCAGGCTAGGCAAGCCCTCTACCGGCTGAGCTACAACTTCAGGCCTTAGAACTGCTTCCTTGTAACAGCTGACCTTCATTGGTGGGTGCCTATTGACTAGGCACTCTGATAAGTGCTGTTAGCTCATTTCTCTAAATTTGGTTTGGCTCACATTCTCATTACCAGAAGAAAGTTACACACACTTACTTTTTTTAAAGAGTTTTGAACACATAAAATTTCTTTAGACCATGGTATTATCAATTGATCTAAAATGAATCTTTTAAAAGAAAAAAAATCTCATGGAAAATGGAGCAGAAAATTTGAAATCCTCCAGGAGACTGTGGTTTTCCTGCATTTTTATGTTTATGACTTTGTAGAGCTAAAGGGAGAAACAAGGCCACCTAAGAAAGTACATTAGAGTTAAGACATTGAAATTTTCTCTTGTTCTAAGGCTGTGGATTGTGCCTCTTAACAGGGCTGCTGGTCAAGCAAGGGGTTATTAGTAACATTCTTTCTGTGTAAATGCATGGCATGAAATATAAAGACAACACCTTAGGGTAGAAAACTCCTGGGAAGACACAGCAAAACCTGGGAGATGGCTCAGTGCATAAAGTATGTGCTGCACAAATAAAAGGATCAGAGTTCAGATCCCAGCACCCACATAAAAGCCAGGCACACCTGAGGCAGGGGTCAAAAACCAGCTAGGCAAACTAGGAAGAACTGGTGAATTCTGGGTTCAATAAGAGACCTGGCCTCAATAAATAAAGTAGAGAATAATTGAGAAACATACCTGCTTACAACTTTAGGCCTCTACAAGTATACACACACACGTACATACACATATGCATGCTGTACATTTGACTATACACACACACACCACACCACACACACCACACACACCACACCATGCCATACCACGCTATACCACACCACACACACATATATAGGCAAAAAAAGATCCATAAAACATTGCCATCTGGAAGGTGACCCAAGGCTCTATTCTCTCTACCTTACAGCTACCTGACTATACTCACCCAGCAGGCAAGAGTCTAATAACATCCATTCATGCCCTTCAACAACCAAAGGAAGCACCGTGGTCTCAGAAACTTGCTTCCAGAGTGTCTCACCGGAACGTCTTTACTTTAATTCTACCTTGCACTATAGCATCCTATTAGCTCAGACCTGCAGGCAAGCCCCACAGCCATGAAATACCTTCTCTCCTGGAAACCTCTACTTTGTACACAGTGAATTGTTAGCTAAGCATCAAGATACTGTTTATGGAAATACAAAATCGAAATAGGAAAAGGTTTACATGCCTTATGAAAAGGCATGGTACAAAGAAAGGCAAACATAAGCATAGCTACATAATATCAAATCGCTACAAAATAACCATCCAGAAAAACAATGGAATAGAAAAGGTAGCTGTATTTGACTGATCGGATATTTTTCTTTCACATATTTTTGAGATATTCCTTCATGTTTTCTTGAAAACAAGAGTGCATGTGCATTCTTCATATAATTGGACATACATACATCAGGCCTCAGAGACGTCTATCAGGGTCTCTATGCAGGAATGTAGACATGCTTGGCGATACAACTTGGATGATGGAGCGGGTGGCAGATGGCATATTTTTTCTTTATTTCCAGGTTTTGGATAGACTCACTGGACTCACTGTTTTAACCTTTACACCTGATCCTGTCCCAAACTTCTACTCAATAATGGGGCTTCCTGTGTCCAGGGGCATCATGGTAACTTCCCTGTTTCAGCCTAGAACCTAAGCGATCTTCCATGATCTTTCCTGACCCTCCCGCTAGAAGGCACATTTGCATACACTTGCATATTATGATTGGTGGGGTCAATGTAAAATTATAGTAAGTAAGTACCTGCTTCTCCCCTACCAAATACTCAGAAAGAGGGATTAAGGTAAACTTAAAAACAATAAAGACAGCCTAGGTATACTCAGTTAATGGCAAGCCCAGTCACCATTTTCTGTCTGTATATGTAGCTTTGACACATGTACCCTGATTAGATCCTCTTTCTTTCTTTCAGTGTGTGAAATGGCATCACACACTGATGCCTCTTCTTCCATTTGGCCAAGACTTCTGGGATATGTTGGACAAAATTTACAGGTGTCACATAATTTAGATCACAGTTATGCTCTGATCTTGCCAAAAGCCTCAGCCAGCTTTTGAACTAGTGATATCCCTTGACCACAAGGTTTCTTTCTAAATGGTCATAGTGAATATTCACCCCATAGGCAATGAATGCCTCCTCTATGTAAGCAACTAGAGACACAACATGAAAAAGATATGCAAAGTTGCAAATGAACCTTGTTATTGCGACTGTAGATATGGAGCACCTGATGATAACAAACATCAGATGGCTCCTTTCCCAGTCTTTGTGAGTGAGAAGGGTGTGTGCCTTAATCACAGAAAAAAATAGGCAATGATACTCAGGCTTTTGCAGCTCTCCACCAAACCAAAGGTGATTCACAGAAAGAAATATAAGGGAAGGGAGTCAATAAGATGTGTGGTTCAATGGCCTTACAACTGCCCTGTGTGGCCAGTGGCAGAGAGTAACACACGGTTGAGCTGTGTGTAGAGCCTGGGCTTGCTATCACAGACCAGGAATCTCAGCTACGTGTCCTCACTCTTGAATGGAGAGGCCAACACTTCACAAGATGGCTGGGAACATGTGCATTTGGAGTGTGAAGTGTTTGCCACAGGCCCATGTGTTGAAACATTTGGTCACAAACAGGTGGCTGCTGCTTTGGGTGGCTGTGGAGCTTTTGAAAGGTAAGGCCTCACTGGAGAAAGTTGGTTGTTGAGAGGAGGATCCTGAGGCTTAGAATCCAGCCTTTCTTCATGCTCACACTCTGCTTCTTGCTGTGCTGTGAATGAAGACATCCACAACGTCCTCGAGCACCATGAATGGAGCCACACCATGCCTTCCCCACTGTATTAGATAGCTTTCTAGCTATTATGATGAAATGGCTGCCTGAAACAAGGAAAGGAGGAATACACACACACACACACACACAGAGCACACATTTTTTTTAAGAACTCCGTCTCTTCCCTCCAATGTTTAGACAGGTCAGGAGTTTCTTCAGAGATTGACCATATCTCCTGGCAGATCAAGGCAAATAATCCTTCCAATTTTCTCTCACTGCCTCCAACACTTAGCAGTGTAGATGGAAAGTCATTTCTCAGATTCTTAAGACTTGGAGTGCACTTAAGACCCCATGGTTTAAGAGACTGGACATGAGGCACAAAAGGTCTTCCTTGCAAGGGAATTACCAACAAAGTAAATGTGCTCATGCTGTCTGGTTGGGATCTTTTGGCAGCCCTGCATAGCACCTTTCTTCTTGGAAATGCAATTGATCTCATCTGTGTTAATATTCGGATTAGTGGATCTTGGTATATTTCTATTGATCTCAGTTAAATCCAAAACAATTTTGCTAAGACATGTAGGCACAGCAAGCATTTTGAATTTCCACATGGAAAAGGGAGTAGAAAGATCCCACCTCCCTGCAGGGACCTAAAACACAAATTTTATTGTTCAAAACTGTATAATCTTCAATAAAAAAGTCAATTCTTTTACAGAAATTAATTTATTTGTGTTCATGTTTGGCCATAGAAATGTGGCTTAGAAATTGGATATCTACTTGGTCTTTCCTCTGAGGTTACCATCTATCATTTCATATTATATCATCATATCCTATCACACCATATCAAATCATCATATCATAAACTCATGTACCCTGCGCTGGCCACAAGTTCATTATGGATTTAAGTATAACCTTGAACTCTTGGTCCCCCCACCTCTGCTTCTAGTGTGCTAGATCTAAAGGCTCGCGCCACGGTTGCCAATTTCTGTAGTGACTGAACTCAGGGTCTCATGCATCCCGGGCAGGCACTCTACCAACATTCCTAGTAAGGTTACTAACTTTATACTCTAAGTCCTCCTGTAGATTTTTAAACATAAAAAGTCCCACCTGATTGGCTGTTTCAGACAATCTTGTGATGGTCAGAGGCACCTGATGAGGTTAAGCTCTCTGCTTTGTGGAAGACACTGCTTTCTTCATCTGATCAACTGCAGCTCACAGAATCCTGCCCCCGCGCTTAGCCCTTTTCTCACATTCTCTCTCCCATGATTCCCCCAGCTCACTCCTCTCTGGCCTCCAATGGGTTTCCTTTGGTTCATCCAGGTTGCTAAACTCTTTCCAGCACAGGGTCTTTGCACTTGGGCTGTTCTTCTTCCCAGACTTCAGATGTCTAGGCCTTCCCTTGTGATCTATACTGCCCTCACACAGGCCACACTACTCTCTTATCATATCTCCTCGGGATCCCTCCTCAAGGCCTGATAGCATTCATTTGCCCCATCCTCATTGCCTGAGTTGCTTTCAGCCATTTTCAATACGTGACTGCAAGATCCTTGTGTTGGCCGTCAATACATACATCTCCGTCCCCAGCAAGTTTGTACATGAAGGAGAACCCTAAACTTACTATGTCAGTATTATCTTCAGTGTGACAAAAGAGAAAATGCACAAATGCAGTCCACTCCCACCTGGATCCCACCTAAAAGTCATGTGCAAGGCCAGAATCAACACAAGCTCAGGCAGGCTTTATTTAAACTTGGAACGTATCCACCTGGGAACTGGAAAAGAGACAGAAGGAAGAAGAAAATGCTGGGGAAAGAAACCCAGATAAACAGAAAATGGGAAAAACTGAAGGGCTGGTACGGGGGTGATGCCATTTTCTGGCCCCGTGTTTGAACCCCACCTTTCCTGTTTACTCACACAACTTTCCTCTCTGTAATTTTTAATTTTTATTTGGTGTATGTGCACATGTTTGATGAGTGTGTGTGTGTGTGTGTGTGTGTGTGTGTGTGTGTGTGTGTGTGTGCAAACATGTGGAAGCCAGAGAACAAAGCTGGGTGGTTCCTCGGGAAAGCTATAGACCTCATTTTGAGAGAGGGTTTCTCACTAACCTGGAACTCATCTAGTAGGTTGGGCTAGCTGCCTAGGGAATCCTGGAAATCCATTTGTCTCTACCTACTCAGCCTGCCATGATGCCTAACTGGCTTTATCATCATCATCATCATCATCATCATCATCATCATCATCATCATCATCGGTTCTGGGGCTCAAATTCAGGCCTCTGTGCTTGCAAGACAAGCCCTTGACCAATTGATTCACCTCTGTAACCCTGAAAAGGTTTCTTAATAGTCCTACAGTCTGCTGGCATCGGTTTCTCATGACAAAAACACCAAATCCATATAGACATTGGAATTAAACAAATACATATTTGACACATCCCCAGGCATGCAAGACTTCTGATCTACTACATGATCACGACAGCAGTATATTTGATATTGTAACTGGATTGTGGCTACTATTGCACAAGCTCTTAGGTAGGGCTGAACACATCTAGCAAAGAGCATCCTTGGAACTCACTTGATCTTGACAAACTTCCGACAGGGCACCGTGTTCCTCACACAGGTCTCAGTCAGTGGGTCTATGTCTTCGACGATGACGAAGGGGGCTTCCTCCAGGGTGACAATGCTCAGGTGGTTGTCGTCTGGCTCACAGTCAGAAAAGGACTTGTACCTTGGCCACACAGCATGCCTCAGGCTGAGGGTCTGATTCTCCCACTTGCCCACCTGCATCACAAACACAAAAATACACTGTGCTTTCATACATCACTGACTTCCATAAAGGCAGGTCCTTCTCACATGACACTGGGGTGTTAAGAAAAACGGTGAGGACCTGAATGTTGGGCAGCTCCTCCACATCCCAGACCCCTCTGGAGGCTAATGAAATGTGTATATCTGGCAGTGGTGGCTGACACATGTGCTTCTGGGGCTCCCAGGAACCACAGAGTTCAGGGCGATGGGTGTTGTGGAAGCAGCATGGAATGTGATGGATGTGATGTAGGTTTTGGTGTGCATCTCCCCTTCTCTGCTGTACAAGCTCTTCATCACAGGAACATGTTTCCTCATCTGTCTCCTGGCGCAATTCCACCTGCTTCCTATCAAGTCAGGAGAGTCAAGCAGTGCATATAAGAAAACCAAGTGCACTTGAGAGGAACCTCAGGCTTCTACTGCAATCATAGAAGATGGAAAAGAAAGGGAGAAGCATCAAATTATACTGAGAAATAGGAAGGGAAAGAGGAAGTAATGAGAAGTGAATGAGAAAGAACAAGAAGGAGGAGGAGGAGGAGGAAAAGAGGATTGAACAAAGAGACAACCTAAGGGGACAGAGCCAGTGACAGAATTAGAAGCATAATTTCAAGCCCGGATATGGTAGCATTTAAGTTGCAAATGAAGGTGAACTTTTACTAATCCATGGAGCAGAGAGATGGTTACTGCTTAGTACACATCAAGACCTGTCAAAATAGAATCGATTGTATTCCCTCTGAGCAGCAGCCGGCATCTTAGTGAAATCAAATTGAAGGCTGTATGTTTTGAACCTTAATTTTATTTGACAGTTTATTGGCACTGTTCACATACTTGCCAGGAGAAGGCTGCGCCTGCGCCTTCCTCTCTCCATCCTCCTCCAGAGCAGCTGCCTGACACCATGGGTCACCGCTTTATTTGTAATAGCAACCTCAAGGAAAACACCTCATTGGAGAAGCTAAATGCTGAGCTCAGGCTTGTCTGTGCTGACATGACCCTCTCACCTCTCCTCTGGTGACGTGAGTGTAACCAGAAATTAATCTTGGGCCCCTAAAGCGAATCCAGACACACTGAATACCAGAAGGTGATGAGGGTGAAGAAGAGAAAAAGCATTTCTGCTCTCTGAGATTACCTCATCATTTGAACTGGAAATTTTTTGCTTGCTGTAAAGAAACATCCCATGTGGCTAATTACAAAATTGTCTAGCTTTGGTGATAGCATCCTTTTTTAGACACAGAGGTTGGCAGACTAATTTGGTGAAGCAAACATGCTCATCTACCCATGATGTGTGATATAAGCTAGGGAAAATGCGGGCCTCGTGGAATTCTTTCTTTAGTCAGCATTGAGTTATCGAACACCTACTGCATGCGGGTGCCAGCCTAGGAGTGATGATGGTTCAAACAGAATGGTTCCTGCTTTCTTAGCAAACAGAATGGTTCCTGCTTTCTCAGTGCTTTCAGCCATCTGAGGGGCAACGATCAAAATAATAATACCGAGTATATACAGATACTGTTAAATCTTGCTGTTGGAGAGATGGCACAGTTGGTGAGTGCTCGTGCCATAGCATGGGAACCTGAGCTCAGTCCCAAGAACTCATGTGATGAAGTAGGGCATGGCGGTATGTTCTTGTAATCACTGCTGGGGAGGAGGAAACAGGTAGATCCAGGACACTGCTGGCCAGCCAACCTCATCAGTGAATTCCAGGCTGCTGTGAGACACCCTAAAAATCCCACCTTCACCCCCAAAACCAGGTAGAAAGCATCCTGAGAAGCAACACCAAGGCCCGAGGTTGACCTCTAGCTTCCACACACATATACACATCCATACATATACACATTTTAATATGCATTTTCAGTCCTTTCCATTTGTCTTGAAAAACTCAAACCTGACCTCCAAGAGAGGCTGGGAAGTTGACTGGGTAGGACAAAGCCTCTGATAGTTAAGAAGTTTTGAGTGTTCCCAACAGCTTCACCCTTTAGCTGAATAACTTCGAGAAAGTCACTTGTCCTTTCTGAGCGTCACTGTTTTTGTTTGTAAAATGCAAAGAACAATCAGAAATCCCTTTGAAGACTGTAGTGAGGTCAAAATAAGACAACAATGTACACAATGCACAAAGCATAGGCCCTACCAATGTACAGAATGTACACAACAGACGCTTGCTTCTGTTCATTCATTCCTGATAATAGCACTATAGCTTCAAGGCTCTTCCTGCCTTCTAGACATAGCTTTCTAACTCCCAATATAAATAATATGCATGTGGATCGGAACTAGCCAATGCGAAGCATCCCTGGAGGCTTTGCTCAGCCTGCTAGCATACTGCCTATTGGCACACATAATGATGAGAACAAGCTGTGAGAGAATGACTATCGAGCTAGGTAATAGAAAGACCAGAACGATAAAGTGATGGCATCCTTTGTAGTTTCTTTTGGGGAGTGTGTGTGTATGTGTGTGTGTGTGTGTGTGTGTGTGTGTGTGTGTGTGTGTGTGTTGGAGAGTGTTAAAATGCAAGTATATATGCCTGTGAGTAGAGGAGAAAGCTCAGTCTTGGCTGCTGTTCCCCGGGCACTGTAACCTTATTTTATTTTTGTTTGTGAAAGCATTTCTTTTATTTTTGAGATTATAATGTACAACACTTCTCCCTTCCCTTTTCTCCCTCCAAACCCTCCAACATAGCCTTCTCTACTCTCTTCCAATTCATGGCCTCCTTTTCCACTAATTGTTCTTACATGCATGCATGTACACTCTTAAATATAGCCTTTTCAGTGGGTAATGTTACGTATATGGATGGTTCTGCTGAGTGTTTGGCACTGGACGGCCAACCGGGGTGCCACCTCTCCTGTTCCTGGCATTTCTTGCTTGCTTGTAATTCTTTGTGTAGGGTTGGGGTGGGATTTTGGAGGTGGCATTTCTCAGTAGCCTGGAGTTCACTGACTGAGCCAGCCTAGCTGGTCAGTGAGCCTGGGATAGCCATGACTGTCTTCCTGGCACTGGAATTACAGGTGCACAGAACCTGGAGTTTTCCATGCAGAAGGGGGCAGGCATTTGACTTACTGAACCATCTTCCTGGCTCCCTCAGGCTCTGATAAGACTGGCTGCTGACTTTTCCTGAGCCCTTATCAAGCATTAGGCACTACTCTCAGCACCATTTTAATTTCTACATGCCTCGTGTACAAAAATGAAAGTTATGGGCAGATCTTTTTAAATCTCTATCACAAATATTTTTCATCCTTAAAAACAGGCCTCCACTCACCCAAATAGGCTGTGTGGGAGGAGAAAAAAATTCTTTTACCTTCAAAATAAACTGGATTTTGATGATAGAGCTTTGGGGTATTTTCAGCAAATACACTGAAGTTTGGAGGACAAATAAAAATAATTGACCTGTGATAGAGAGAAGTGATTTCACTGACAGAAATATAAAAAGGGAAATTAACTTTGTAAGAATTTTTTTATCCATTCTTATTAATATAATTTAAATACAGTGCTTTGAGAGTGCTAACTGCTCTTCAGCTTTTAGAAAGTGCTCTGTGAATGGCCAATGATTACCCTGCAAATGTTCAGCCAATATGTTCTCAGAGCAGAGATAATTTCATCTCTAGAAGCTACATGGCTCGAGTTAAAGTCTCTGCCACTTCATGTCTGGACAAGCTCAGAGCGATGTCACAGGGACAGCAAGCAGCTGGAAGAATTCAGATTAATAGGTGGCTGCTTCTCTTTTTCCAAAGGGAAAAGGTGAACCACTTGAGCCCATTTAACCTATTCATGAAATGCTCACAAGATATAATTAAAATAACTGCATAGCTGGCTCTCAGATCTCCCAACCATAAAAACACATACGTGACATGTATGAACACCAAAACTGGGGGTGGGTGTAGTTCAGTTGGCAGAGTGACTACTTAGCATGCACAACGCTCTGCGTTTGATCAACACCGTGTAAAATTGAGTAGAGTGCCTCACCTGTAATTGGAATAAGAAACTTGAGATTATGCTTGGCTACAAAGCAAGTTTGAGGCTAGCCAGGGCTACATGAGAGCATGTCTCAAAAATAAACAAACAAGCAACAACAAGGATGCCAAAGTTCTGAATCTAGCTCTGCTCAACCCCTCAGGCTGCCTGTGAAACCCAGGCCCCATCTCCAAACATCTCCCCCCAACCTTGCTATTGTTTCCTCTAGTTTGCTCTCTTTCCACCTCTAAATTATCCCATCACCCTGCATCCTTTCATGGGATAACATATACACTGATGCTCCAAGTTGGTCACTCTACAATCTGAGCTCCACATTTGTTGTTGTAGGGGGATCAATGACCAGCCACTTCACTGAAATTTGCTGAACAGACTCGCAATAATATCATCAGTTCTTTTGCACAGAATTCAAAGTTAAAAGAGGAAAACTGCTTGTTTATCTAGCTTTTCTCCTTGGAGACAGGACAATAGAGACTGAAATTAAAAATCAGAGAGGTTTATTAAAAGCAACAATAGAAGCTGAGTTCACACCACCTATACCCCGATCTGACTGGGCCCCCAGAGCTCAGGAGGTGATTTCAAAAACAGCTAGTATTAAGACAAACACTTGTGCAAAACATCAGAGGACATTTCACTTCAGATAATAAGCAGCAATTCATTTCCAAGCTGGAGGGAAGATGAGACATAAACTCTTCAGGAAGATGAAGTTACAGAGGAAAGCAAAACAGAAAGGAAGTCAATTTCTCTCTACCTGAAATATAAAAGTCTTCCAAAAGGCATGAGATAGGTGACTGTGAAGGGGCTGTGAAATCACTTCATGTCCGTGTTTTGCATAAGTAGCATCATCTACTAGAATTGCTTCCGTGCCTCTGCAAGCTCGTCAGTGCACAAGCAAGCCAATAGCAGGACTACACCAAGCCATTCAGTGTCTGAGGGGGCAGCTGGAGATCCCAGGCAGATCTGAATATGGTGGCTCTAAGAATGACAGCACAGGGTCTGAACTCCTGCTCTAGCTTGGTAGTAAG